AGAAGACACATCAAAAACACAGAGTGGTGCGTTTTTGGTGCATTTTTTGTCTATGTTTCACATATTCATGATTGGAGTCAGGCAACCCAGAAAAAGTACCAAAAACATCAAAAACTCATGTGTTCTTACTACATTTTTTTCAGCGGAGTAGTATGAAAGGGCTCAGAACAAGCCTTGAGAGAGGAGTTCTTATGTTCCAAAATCTTTTTTTTTTTTTACCTTTTTTCACAGCTGTGTGCTTATCTCTTCAGCATTCAGCTTGTTGGTATTGCTGCATACTGTATGTACCTGGATTGTACACTGCTGCTGCTCATTTAGCTACTCAAGTTGTGTTAGATAACTGTGTGTCTATTAGCATACTAGTATGTTTATGCTACAAGACTATGACTAACTAATCCCTCATGTGCTCTTCCTTGTGTACTTGTCATCATGTTTGTACTGTATGTTTCCTGCTACTATAAACATTATCATGTACATTATATAATGATTTCGGAAATGTTTCCAAGTTACGTAAATTGTTACAAAGTCACGTTGGATACATATGTTAGTTTGTCTGAGCACCTGGTGTCTGAGTATGCTCACTTTTTATGCTATCTTGTTATTAGCGTGATGACACTAATTGCTTAGCAGTTGATAGAACTGATCTCTTTGTTGGCAGGGTTGTATGTTATTGAAAGAATTGGTGTAGGTGTATGGCCCCAAACACAGACAATATGCATTTGGGGGCCACTCGCCCACACCTGCACACTTATCAAATTAGGACCTGCAGCACATAGAGTAACAGATGGCTCCAGCCATCATTCACACTTAATGAGCCAGAGAACCCGTGTGAATGAGCCCTTATTTTTTTTTTATAATTTTTTTTTTAAATTTTAATTACTATTTAAAATCCTTAACATTTATTTTTACAATTTGTAGTTTTTTTTACCTTTTTTAAATTAATTTTTTTATTTTTTTTCAACAGTGTTGGGGGGGCTGGATGAAATTTCAAACAGATCCTTGACAGCTCACAAAGACAGCTCACAGAGACAGACAGAAAAAGGAATTGCGGACACATATTCTTCAGTTGCTTTCTCTGTAGCTTCAGCTACACTGACGATGACTGAACAAGAGACAGAGGCTTCCATTCATTCATAAACTGAAGCATAGTAAACACAGTTTACTATGCTTCAGTTATGAATGGACAGAGGAGCGATCAGTACTGGCCACTCTGGTCACACTGTGTTCATTCACTAAAGGAAGGGCCAGTAAATGACATATTTATTGGCCCCTTCTCCCACTCTTCATCTACCTGTGTACCCGCAGCAGCCAGCAGGAGAGGGAAGCCAGTAAATGACATATTTATTGGCCCCTTCTCCCACTCTTCATCTACCTGTGTACCCGCAGCAGCCAGCAGGAGAGGGAAGCCAGTAAATGACATATTTATTGGCCCCTTCTCCCACTCTTCATCTACCTGTGTACCCGCAGCAGCCAGCAGGAGAGGGAAGCCAACAGTGTTGCTGGAGGTGGGGACCACAGGCACAAAAGGGAAAATTAGATGTGGGCAGCACAGGGAGGGGGAACGGTGCAGAGGGATGGCGGAGGGGACAATTACAGGACAATGCCCTGTGTCAGTGTCTCTCCTTCCAGCAGCTGAAAGGGAGAAATCAGCTTTCAGCTGCTGCAGAGAGCCACACAGGGCATCTTTCTGCAACTTCCCCTCCAACCCTCTCCCCCGCTGCCCTGCTGCACCAATCCCCCTCCTGTCCAGGCTCCCCTGTGTGCCTAGGTCCCCTACAGGAGGACTGGTGGTACTGCCCTATCATCAGCCCTGTGGGTCAACGCACATTTCTGTTGTGCATTGACTTGCATTTTGACGCATGATGACATGCATTTTCTAGACGTTTTTGAATTTAGAGTGGATAGAGTTAACAGTTTTGTTAATACTAATAAAAACGCATCTATTGACTCCTCTGGGCATTCCATCACAAACCTAACATGTCATATTTTTCAGAATGTGGCACTGACATGGGAACACACACTATCTTTAGTGAGGGGAACCACAATATATGCATGTATATGGGACCTAACTTATGTTGGGAAATGGGACTACAACATCTTCTTGGTAAATATACAAAGGTATTAATACAAATACTTTCAAACTTTTTTTTTATATTACTGATATATTTACCAAATTAAAAGGTTAATATGTACAGTATGTCCAGTCCGAGCTTTTTTCCCATTTTGGATAGAGTGGAGAAGGGTTAGGACCTCTGTCTGGTTTTCCTGCTTTCCAGGCTCTACAAGAGCGATTTCCTCTCACCTCCTGTCCTGTTGACAATGCTTTCACCAGTCGAAAAGTAAATGATAATCTGCAACCAGCACATAGACAACAACAAAAAGTCAAAGGGATTTAGCCTGTTTCAATATTTACATCTGTCTCTACTGCATTTGTAGATTTCCCCTCACTTGTGAAATCGTTGTCACCAGGAAAGGAAGTGAGGGGAAATCTCTCAAATGGATAGCCATAAAAAAAAAACCCAACAGGGTTTCTAATTCCGCCACAAGCCACCCAAAACAAATACAAAAATTGTGCACCACTAACACACTTTAAAAGAAAATATTGTCCTTTTAATTGATTAGAGCTCAGCTGAACATGCAGGCACCATCTGACTAGGCTGACCACACACTATACAATCTGATTGTATAATTACTATATGTCTACCATCAACATTGTAGTGCAAGAGCATTCCTGATTTTATACTAATTGATTTGTTCAGGTTTGTCCTCAGATTATAAAGATTTGGTAAATCTAAAGGAGATTGTATAGTGTATGGCACTGAACTAATGAGAAGGCAAAGAGCAGGGACAGCAGCTGCTCTTGTGAACATCGCTGGATTAACTGAAGTAAAAACCCTTCAGCCCTTACAACCACTTTAAGGTAAAAAAAACATTTTGACTTTATAACCACTTTAACTCTTAATCGAACTGTCATGCTATCCAATGGCTGAATCACAGCTGATCACATGTGCTGTGCCGTGGCCCCTTTCAGACGGGGCACACCCGTCAGTGGATCTGCTTGCTCAGCAGGGGATCTCTCCACTGATCCCTGCTGAGCAAGCAGATGACAGGTCTGTGTCCGCTCCGCTGCTGCAGAGCAGACACAGCCCACTATTTTCTATTGGGCAGTCGCATGGAAACAGACCACCTGTTCGTTTCCACCCAACTGTCATCTGATCTGATCCACCAGATGGATGGGGAACAGATCTCCACTCGTCTGTTTTTAGTGTACAGGATCAGATCGAATGCCGGCGGGTTTTAGTGAACATCCACCAGTCCATAGAGGGCTATGGATGGTTCAATCAGATCCGCCCGAATAACCAACCTTCTATGTAAAAGGGGCCTAAGATGGCAGCTTTCATGCCAGTCCAGCACTCAGATAAACACCTGAATAACCAACATTTGCTGCAAACTAACGTTTAACCAGTTGTAGATTGTCACCATTGTACACAGTCTTTCTGTCCTGATTCCGGGGACCCGTGTTCCAGTACAGGGAAATTCAGTTCCGATTAATGACTGCTACATTGCAGAGTACACAGAGAAGATCTGGGCAATTGGAACAGTCAAAAAAAAGGCTGACAATGTTTATCAAAAACATTGCCCAACCCCTGAAACAGAAAGATAAACAGAAAAATTTTTACGTTTCATATCTTTCTGTTTATTCATCTGCAGATCAAAGGGATGAACTTGAAGTCAGTTAAAAGCAAACAGTCATGTGAAAGTTTATTTTTTTTAATTAAATGTTCCTTTGTTTAAACCCTTATTAACCCTTAATTTATTCTAATTAGCCCTAATTAACTCCTTATTCTCCTTCTCCATTAAATTATTATTTTTTTACATTTTTGTTTGCTTTGTCCGTTAACATTTTTTACACCTTTAGCATATGTTTACAGGTTTCACATTGAAAAAAGTGAAAAATAGTAAAACAATATACCGTATTTCTTGCTCCATAAGACGCACCTGACCATAAGACACATTCTGAACCAATGGACTGCAGGCATAGTACAGGAAATGACCAGAGACTGCAGACATGCGGACGTACTACAGGAGATGACCAGAGACTGCAGACATAGTAAAGAAGATGACCAGAGACTGCGGACACAGTACAGGAGATGACCAGAGAGTGTGGATATACTACAGGAGTTGACGAGAGACTGCGGACATGCTACAGGAGATGACCAGAGACTGTGGACATACTACAGATGACCAGAGACTGCGGACATACTATAGGAGATGACCAGAGACTGCAGACATAGTAAAGAAGCTGACCAGAGACTGCGGACATAGTACAGGAGATGACCAGAGACTGCGGATATACTACAGGAGTTGATGAGAGACTGCGGACATATTACAGGAGATGACCAGAGACTGTGGACATACTACAGATGACCAGAGACTGCAGACATAGTACAGGAGATGACCAGAGACTGCAGACATAGTACAGGTGATGGCCAGAGACTGCGGATGTACTACAGGAGATGACCAGAGACTGCGGACATACTATATACCAGAGACTGCAGACATAGTACAGAAGATGACCAGAGACTGCAAACATAGTACAGGAGATGACCAGAGACTGCGGACAAAGTACGGGAGATGGCCAGAGCCTGCGGATGTACTACAGGAGATGAGCAGAGACTGCAGACATAGTACAGGAGATGACCAGAGACTGCAGACATAGTACAGGAGATGACCAGAGACTGCAAACATAGTACAGGAGTTGACCAGAGACTGCAGACATAGTACAGGAAATGACCAGAGCCTGTGGACATACTATAGACCAGAGACTGCAGACATAGTACAGAAGATGACCAGAGACTGTGGATATAGTACAGGAGATGACCAGAGACTGTGGACATACTACAGATGACCAGAGACTGCAGACGTAGTACAGGAGATGACCAGAGACTGCAGACATAGTACAGGAGATGACCAGAGACTGCGGACACAGTACAGGAGATGACCAGAGACTGCGGACACAGTACAGGAGATGACCAGAGACTGCAGACATAGTACAGGAGATGACCAGAGACTGCAGACATAGTACAGGAGATGACCAGAGACTGCGGACACAGTACAGGAGATGACCAGAGACTGCGGACACAGTACAGGAGATGACCAGAGACTGCGGACATAGTACAGGAGATGACCAGAGACTGCAGACATAGTACAGGAGATGACCAGAGACTACAGACACAGTACAGGAGATGACCAGAGACTGCGGACATAGTACAGGAGATGACCAGAGACTGCGGACATAGTACAGGAGATGACCAGAGACTGCGGACATAGTACAGGAGATGACCAGAGACTGCAGACATAGTACAGGAGATGACCAGAGACTGCGGACATAGTACAGGAGATGACCAGAGCCTGTGGACATACTATAGACCAGAGACTGCGGACACAGTACAGGAGATGACCAGAGACTGCGGACACGGTACAGGAGAAGACCAGAGACTGCGGACACGGTACAGGAGATGACCAGAGACTGCGGACACGGTACAGGAGATGACCAGAGACTGCGGACACAGTACAGGAGATGACCAGAGACTGCGGACACGGTACAGGAGATGACCAGAGACTGCGGACACAGTACAGGAGATGACCAGAGACTGCGGACACGGTTCAGGAGATGACCAGAGACTGCGGACACAGTACAGGAGATGACCAGAGACTGCGGACATACTATAGACCAGAGACTGCAGACATAGTACAGGAGATGACCAGAGACTGTAGACCTTTGGGGAGCAGGGGGGTGGTGGGTACCCGAATTTGACAGGTACCCGCTCCCACTTCACTGCGATCGCCTCTCTCCCTGTAGTCTTCTGGGACACGTGACAGGTTCCAGAAGACTACGGAGCCATTCACACAGCAGAGCGCTTCTTGTGTATGGACAGTGGGCACCTGGCTGTGAAGCCGCAAGCTGTCACAGCTGGGTACCTACAATGAAGATGATGAGGTGATGAGGACACCGGTAGGGATGAGGAACAGGTAGGACTGAGGAGCAGGTTCTGCTGCACAGAAGAGCCGAGTATTCCAACACAGCGGCGATGGGAGGAATACAGGACCGGCTTCTCCATATTCGCTCCATAAGACGCACAAACATTTCCCCCCATTTTTTGGGGGAAAAAAGTGCGTCTTATGGAGCGAAAAAATACTGCACTTCATTTGTAAATAGCTTTGCAATGCTTTGTACCAGAATTGTAATTTTAGTGTCATTTTAAACAGGACAAATTACAGAATAAAATGTGCACTTTTTATATGCAATAACACTATTTATTTTTAAACTGACATTGCTCAAAAAACAATAAGTGATTTTTTAAAAAAAAAATTGTTACCTTTAATTGTCTAAGGATTTTGAAAAAATATTGTTGCAAGAAAATATTCACAAAAAGAAAGCCTTGTTTGTTCTTAAAAAAACAATATATGTATTACATTGTATCTTAAAGTGATACTAAACCCCGGACCCTGCATTCACTATATCTGGTCTCCCAGGACCCTGCATTCACTATATCCGGTCTCCCAGGACCCTGCATTCACTATATCCGGTCTCCCAGGACTCTGCATTCACTATATCCGGTCTCCCAGGACCCTGCATTCACTATATCCGGTCTCCCAGGACCCTGCATCCACTATATCCGGTCTCCCCGGAACCTGCATCCACTATATCCAGTCTCCCAGGACTCTGCATCCACTATATCCGGTCTCCCAGGACCCTGCATTCACTATATCCGGTCTCCCAGGACCCTGCATCCACTATATCCGGTCTCCCCGGAACCTGCATCCACTATATCCGGTCTCCCAGGACTCTGCATCCACTATATCCGGTCTCCCAGGACCCTGCATTCACTATATCCGGTCTCCCAGGACTCTGCATCCACTATATCCGGTCTCCCAGGACTCTGCATCCACTATATCCGGTCTCCCCGGACCCTGCATTCACTATATCTGGTCTCCCAGGACTCTGCATTCACTATATCTGGTCTCCCAGGACCCTGCATCCACTATATCCGGTCTCCCCGGACCCTGCATTCACTATATCCGGTCTCCCAGGACCCTGCATTCACTATATCTGGTCTCCCAGGACCCTGCATTCACTATATCCGGTCTCCCAGGACTCTGCATTCACTATATCCGGTCTCCCAGGACTCTGCATTCACTATATCTGGTCTCCCTCAGTACACACAACATGGGAATGCAAATATTACAGTAATTATAAACTGATAAATACCTTTTCTCATCAGCATTATATAGCAGTCCTGTGACTTCAGCTGAGCACATGTTAAAGCTTGTAGGAGGAGTTTTCTTTCTGCTCTAGAAGGATGCAAAACCCCTTGACCCTCTGGACAGTGCTGATTGTCCCTGTGCTGATCACATGCACTCTCCATAGGAAAAAAAAAACCTCTAGCAATACACACCAAACTGAGCATGTGTATCTGACTACAGATTCAGTCTCCGCACAGAACAGAACTCCACAACTGCCTTCTACACATTTCTGAGGAGAGCTGTCATTGGTGGCGACACCTAGCGGCAGGCAGACACAAGACGGCTGGGGCACGTGTAGAGGGATGCCGGGGATGCCTCTCCTCGTACCTCACCGATCTACACGTGAGCGCCCCCAGCTTTGCAGTAGAAGATCCCGGACAGCGCTCCGCAGAACACAGAGGAGCCGGGAGAGGAGGAGAGCGGAGCGAGCGGACTACAGCCGGACACTGCGAGACACACAGCTTCCCGGCCCGGGTGAGTCTGCACTGACCGGGGATCCCAGCTACCGGATCCTGCCTGACTTCACCGGGGACAGTGTGTGCGAGTCCTGCCACACCTCATGTCTGGGGTCCTCACCCTCCACCCCCACCGGACACAGATCTATACCCCTGTACATGGAGTGTGCACCCTCCACCGGACACAGATCTATACCCCCCTGTACATGGAGTGTGCACCCCCCACCGGACACAGATCTATACCCCCCTGTACGTGGAGTGTGCACCCTCCACTGGACAGACAGAGATCTATACCCCCCTGTACATGGAGTGTGCACCCTCCACCGGACACAGATCTATACCCCCCGTACATGGAGTGTGCACCCTTCACCGGACACAGATCTATACCCCCTGTACATGGAGTGTGCACCCTCCACCAGACATGAGATCTATATCCCCCATACATGGAGTGTGCACCCTCCACCGGACACAGATCTATACCCCCCTGTACATGGAGTGTGCACCCTCCACCGGACACAGATCTATACCCCCTGTACATGGAGTGTGCACCCTCCACCAGACACCGAGATCTATATCCCCCATACATGGAGTGTGCACCCTCCACCGGACACAGATCTATACCCCCCTGTACATGGAGTGTGCACCCTCCACCGGACACAGATCTATACCCCCCTGTACATGGAGTGTGCACCCTCCACCGGACACAGATCGATACCCCCCTGAACATGGAGTGTGCACCCTCCACCGGACACAGATCTATACAGCCCTGTACATGGAGTATGCACCCTCCACCGGACACAGATCTATACAGCCCTGTACATGGAGTGTGCACCCTCCACCGGACACAGATCTATACAGCCCTGTACATGGAGTGTGCACCCTCCACCGGACAGAGCTCTATACCCCCCCCGTACATGGAGTGTGCACCCTCCACTGGACACACAAATCTGTACCCCCCTGTACATGGAGTGTGCACCCTCCACCGAACAAACACAGATCTATGCCTCCCTGTACATGGAGTGTGCACCCTCCACCGGACACAGATCTATACCCCCTGTACATGGAGTGTGCACCCTCCACCGGACACAGATCTATACCCCCCTGTACATGGAGTGTGCACCCTCCACCGGACACAGATCTATACCCCCCTGTACATGGAGTGTGCACCCTCCACCGGACACAGATCTATACCCCCCTGTACATGGAGTGTGCACCCTCCACCGGACACAGATCTATACCCCCCTGTACATGGAGTGTGCACCCTCCACCGGACACAGATCTATACCCCCCCTGTATATGGAGTGTGCACCCTCCACTGGACACAGATCTATACCCCCCTGTACATGGAGTGTGCACCCACCAACGCACCGGACACAGGACAAACATATCTATATTTGTCTCCATAGATGTGTGTATTCTATATCTGTACGTAGATTTTCACACCCCACACAGCAAAAAAGAAATCTATGTACAAGGAGTGTACACCCCATAGTGGTCTGGAGAGCAGTGCCACCCAGTGATATATCTGAATATGGAGTGTACACCTCCCACCATTTCCGACAGCATTGCCATATATATCTATATATCCCTGTATATGGAGCTGTACACCTTATACCAGTGGTGCCATATATATCTGTATCTCTTCCTCTACATGGGTGTGTACACTAGATATAGTCCATACTGCTGTGTATCCCTGTACATGGAGCTGTACACCTTATACCGGTTTGGAGAGATGTGCCATTTCCTATATATTTATGTCTCCCAGTACATGGCATGTACACCTAATATCAGTCTGGATAGCAGTTCCATTATTCCCTGTACATGGAGTGCATACTACATAACACTCCAGATAGTGATGTAATCTATACCTCTACATAGATCTGTACACTTCATGCCAGTCTGGAGAGTGGTGCCTTGTGAAGTGTACTTCTCCAAGTACAGGGATATAGATGTGTATGGCACCACTGTCCAGACTGGTATGAAGTGTACCTCTCCATGTACAGGGATATACCAATCTGGACAGAGGTGCCTTATTTTCCTACATGGATCTGTACAGTTTATATCAGTCTGGGGAGCATTGCCATATGAAGTGTACACTCCATATATAAGGATATATGTATATCGCACTGCCTTATGGAATGGTATGACGTATACATCTCCATGTACAGGGGTATATGTCACCACTGTCCAGACTACTGTGAAATGTACAGATCATGTACAGGGGTATATGTCACCACTGTCCAGACTACTGTGAAATGTACAGATCATGTACAGGGGTATATGTCACCACTGTCCAGACTACTGTGAAATGTACAGATCATGTACAGGGGTGTATGTCACTACTGTCCAGACTACTGTGAAATGTACAGATCATGTACAGGGGTGTATGTCACTACTGTCCAGACTACTGTGAAATGTACAGATCATGTACAGGGGTGGTATGTCACTACTGTCCAGACTACTGTGAAATGTACAGGGGTATATGTCACCACTGTCTGGACTGATATAAAGGATACAGTCCCATGTACAGGGTATACCAGTCAAAATAGCAATTGATTTTTTTCCTGTACATGGAACTGTGCACTTTTTAATAGTCTGGAGAGCTGTGCCATATGTACGTTCCATGTGTACGGATATATATGTACAGTCATGGCCGAAATTGTTGGCACCCTTGATATTTCTCCAGGAAATCATGTATTTCTCACGAAACGTATTGCATTAACACATGTTTTGCTATACACATGTTTATTCCCTTTGTGTGTATTGGGACAAAACAAAAAAAGGGAGGAAAGAAAGCAAATTCGACATAATGTCACACAAACCTCCAAAAATGGGCTGGACAAAAGTATTGGCACCCTTTCACAACTGCGGATAAATAAGAATGTTACAAGCATGTGATGCTCCTGTAAACTCACCTGGGGCAAGTAACAGGTGTGGGAAATATAGAAATCACACCTGAAAGCAGATAAAAAGGAGAGACGTTCACTTAACCTTTGCATTGTGTGTCTGTCTGTGCCACACTAAGCATGGACAACAGAAAGAGGAGACGAGAACTGTCTGAGGACCTGAGAACCAAAATTGTGGCAAAATATCAACAATCTCAAGGTTACAAGTCCATCTCCAGAGAACTAGATTTGCCTTTGTCCACAGTGCGCAACATTATCAAGAAGTTTGCAACCCATGGCACTGTAGCTAATCTCCCTGGTCGTGGACGGATGAGGAAAATTGATGAAAGATTGCAACGCAGAATAGTCCGGATGGTGGATAAGCAGCCCCAAACATGTTCCAAAGACATTCAAGCTGTCCTGCAGGCTCAGGGAGCATCAGTGTCAGCGCGAACTATCCGTCGACATTTAAATGAAATGAAACGCTATGGCAGGAGACCCAGGAGGACCCCACTGCTGACACAGAGACA